CAAAGTTTTTTTCGATGTTTGCGTCGCTTAGCTGTAGAACAACGTTTTCGCCAACCGGCACCGTCGTCGTGTTCAGACTTTTGGGCCTCGACCGGTTTCTCGAAGCGTTTGAGGCTTCGAGTCCTCTTCCGCTCCTCACACTCCGACGGAGATGCCAGCAGGGGGGCCTAGCAGAGCATGGGTGGTTTGGAGCGGTTCTTGGCGCACAAGGCGGTGCATGGAAGTCCCCCCGTTACAAGGATCAGGTAGTTGGCCGCTTACTTGGTTCATGTGTTCATTTAATTACATAAAATAGAATCAAATCATATCAAATCTATATGATTTGTGTTTGATTGTCCTAGTTTGTGAATGTGTACAAACAACAACGGTTTTGTGGTGAACAACGACAAAGAAAACAGGACTTTGTTGATATGAGATCTTGGCTCAAAAAACGTGTCCGATGGTAGTGAAACGCAGACTTTCTACCCTCCACAGCGCCCACAAAGCTGCCGCATTTGATGGAACCACTGACTGGGTCTGGTGGCTTGTACGAAAGTCCCATGGCTTGACTTGAGGTATTCATGAAACAGAAACAAGTGAGAACAAGTCCCCAACAAAAAAACACTGCAAACAACAATTTGACACACATATTCAATTGATCCATCTAGAAGCAACACATACTGTACCAGACGCCGCCCCAAACAGGGTCCTAGAAGGGCAACTTGACCCAAGTTGATGCTTAATGCAGAACGGTTGGCGAGTTAGTTTTGTGTTTTGTGTGTGAATTCCTGGATGTGGACTAAGACCAGATTACTCTATAGGCTACAGGACTCTATAGAACAGGTTTTTGGGACTAGCAAACCAACAAGCAAACAAACACGGCTAAACATCTATCCACTCCAAGCACTGCTTCATTGAGTTTCAATTGTGCTGTCTAATTACTGATGCAGCACGCTATCAAAAATTGCTGACCTTCACCGTATATAGGAAGATTAGAGAAATCCAGCCGCACCAATTCCATAAAGGTCCACACAACTTTCAATACACTCCCACTTGCCAGTGATCTACTCGCAGGATATTGGAACCCTCACTGAGTTGCACTCTTACCCTTCGCTTTTCTATGCAGGACTCCAGACTCGCCTGAACAATTGACAAAACCGACTCGCAAGGTGCCCACGGAGGTCTCACCGACCACCATCGGCGAAGAGGACGAGGCCCGGTCACCCGGCCCGCCGGGGCACCTCGGCACGGGTGAAGCTGGGTGGGTGACGCCCCCTGCTGAGTCGAGCCAGCAGAGTTCATGGATCATGTTGAACCACTGACTTTAAAACCAACTCAGATGTTCCCTGAGGTAAAACCAGTGACATGAAATGACCGCAGATATCCGCAGATGGTGAACAAGGTCATGCAGTAAGGGAAGCCAAAAGGACGAAGTGTATTGAGGATACCACCCGACTGCGCACAAAGCTCCTGCAACAGAGGTCAGACAGGACTTCGTTTGAGCATGTTTCAGCCAAGCATGTTTGACCAAAGTCAAATCACACGGATTCAACGATGACGGGAATTGCGGAGGCATCCACAGAACATAAGGTACAGTAACTCATGCCTTGAAGAAACAGTCAACATTTACCTTTTGAGTTCATGTTGTCAACTCCCCTTCTTCATCGAGCTTCGTCTTTAAGCGAGGATAAGGCAGCATAATTGCTCACCTCACTTGGTGCACTCGGGTCAGGGTCTAAGACTGGGCCGACTCGCAGACAGCGTGTGCCGCTCAACCTCGTGATTCGGGGTCAAAAGCCAAAGTCCAACGAGCGCGCATTGTGAAGGAACTGAAATGTCGAAAATTCTGTCTTCAGGGAGTCGTTGCCTGGGAGGTCTCCCTACTTGAGCTACACACCCAAATGTCCCAAATGGTGTTCTACTCCAGGTCTTATCGAGTCAAACCGGTCTCCAGAAGCCCGAACCTCGCAGGAGCCCACGGCCACAGTCCCAACAGCCATTCCGGAACCGACCATCCCCACGTTGCAACTCGGCGTTGAAGTGGGGAGTCGAGAGTTATGCAGTCAGTCAAGACAATGTTTTGTTTCATGATATTGACATGTTGGATGAGAGAGAGAGAGAGAGAGTGAGCGCGAGAGAGATATTGCTTTGCATTTGAATCCTATCAAGTGGATTTTTGTGGATCTGTGGTGTGTCATTGGAATTCTGAGATGCACATAATGCTATTTGATCCCAATCTGTCTCTGCCACCTCCCCAAACTTCACAGGTTTGCGTGGTGGCTTATGGTGGATTGGTTTGAGTTCTTGATCCCTTTCTTGGGACGTTGCTGTGTGTGGTGAGGATCGTTGTTCTTTCATTGACGGAAGGGTTTGGAGAGGCTTGATGAAAGGGAATGCAACTTCAGCATGTTTTTCAAAACATCCGTTTAGCTGAAAGCATGAAGAGAGGGATGGGATGACCTCGGCTTATTCTGCTTGTTGTTCTCTTGCTGAGGCCACAGCCTGAAGCGGAGGCGACTTTGTTTTGGGGACGGCAGGAGTTGATTTTGGTAGGGTGTGAATTTGAGTTGAAAGAGATTGATGCCATTTGGACTAAGGCTCCAATGTTGTGAGGTCTGATTGCATTTGAAAGGTTGGACACTGTGGTTTCTGACTGATTTCAGGGTGGTTGAAAGGCAGCGCTACTGTAATGACTCTAGTGACTATCACCACCCATTTCTTGATGCAAAAAATCTAGACAAGCTTATGAAATGGGGTCTTGACTATGTTCCCCCTTCTTTTCCGAATTCCATGGTCATTCTTTCCAAGGTTTCCAGAACTTCCAAGTGGTTCTATTTTTAAATACTTGCAGCAAACCACTGGTCAACTGGATGTAGATATCCAGCGCGAGGCCGATGTCTCTGGGCCATTGGCCTCAGCAGGTGCATGCCGAGCTTCGGAGGATGAAGTGATTTGGGACATACTGTATTATATACATGCAGTATATATTATAATATAATATAATAATATATAGACTATATTAGGGTAGCAACGGTGAAAATTTATTGTGTTGAATTGTAGCTGTAGATGGTTTCAATTTCCTTTGGGATTGGTGTCCACATCGAATGGACAGTACTTGTTTCTATGGTCAGAATAGGTGGTGCGAAAAAAGCCTATAGGTGATCTATAGAGCAGTCATTAGCAGTTGTGATTTCTCTCATATGGAAGTGGAAAGCCACCCTGTTGGCACAGGGAAACTCCTTATCAAAGCATTCATGCCATCCACTTTCCATGTGATGTGTTTGGAGGAACCGGACCTGCGAGTTGTTGCTTTGCTTTTCGACCCACGGTTCAATGGTCCGGGACCGGAGGAGCCCTTTTGGTGACGTGACCGTGTGACGTGACCGTCGTTTGTCCGAAGCAGCTGAGTCGTTTGTGGTGGACAGCCCAGACGGACGTGCGGACTGCAGTTGAAAGGAGGCTGGCAATAAGTATTATATAATGTATGGATCTCTAGTTGGATCTATATTTGGGGGGCGAAGGTTTCCCGAAGCTTCCCTACTAAGCACCAGTTTGTCAATCAATCATGTCATCAAGCATCAAAATCAGTCAAGCAGTCAAACCGAAACTTGCCACATGTCAGGATTTCAAAGGGTTTTGGAGCATTCCCTTAGTGTGGAAGATCACATTTCGATTCACTGATCGACCCCTTCTTCCCATTGGAAGCCTTGGCATGCTTTTTGTTGCCCCACTACGGCCCTCATTATGTCTCCCCGTGCATCTACCAGGTCTTCCAATTTGTTCGCTCGGCTCCAGGCTACAGCAGTGCGCCCCTCCCCTCGCCCGAGGAGAGTTCTGGGGGTTGGATGGTTAGGAGAAGGAGAAAAGGCAGGATGTGGACCTCGGATCGGGTCAATAAACTATAGTTCATAAAGCAAGTAATCATCTACAGCATCAAAAGTGATGATTAAGCTATGTGAAGAAACTGAAGCATGAACAAGGCAGAGCACTTTACGAAGACAGATCCCAGGAATCACCTCCTCGTTTGACTTCCACCAATATTTATATCAATGCTAGTTTTTCAAATTCCAGGAGATCCTTTTGCTTGTGCGTCTTGCGGCCGAGGTGCAGAGTCACAGATATCAGAGCTAGAAGGGAGAGCACGCATCTAAAGCATGCAGAGCATGGACTAGTCCAACAATTTGTTCCCCGTTTTTGAGGGTGGACATTCTTTTTTGGACGGCTAGTTTCCCCAGCCCAGCCACATGCCAAAATGACCGACCCATCGCATCATTTCACACGGAGTGAGCTCCAGGAAATGCCAGTGCCAACGGAGATGCCATCCCCAACCTCACCGGCGGAGGCAGGTGTGATGACTGGTGACAAAGACCGGATGTCAAGCTTTTTTGAGATCTACCAGTGCCAGCAAAAGATAACCTGACCTGTCTTTTTGTGAACTTTTTGTTGTGCAATGTTGTGCTGTTTTTACCATGTTTTACCGTTTTACCCAATACTGCGTGGTCACGTGAGATCATGTAGTGGTCAAGATCTCAGCTTTGGTTGTGATGCATCCTTTTCTTAAAGGCCATGCCATGCCGTGTATCACGGAACTGTTGACATCGCGATTGGCTTGGTACTCGTACAGCCACCGTGCGACTCGCGGCCCCAGTGCAGAGAACAATGCGTAGGATTCCGTAGTGTCTTCCTCTTAGCAAAATCTCGAAGATGTTTGAAACTGCGGAAATTGGTGTTCACTAGGGGATCTTCTTGTCACTATCTGAATGGAAAAACCACCAACCACATTTCTTTCAATGAGTTGAATGATTAGTCCCAGTCCCTCAGAAGTGCCTGAACCCCCAAGTGGAAGAAAAACGGCGCCACTTTCAAAAGTGCATGAAATTTCTGCCACTGGCCACTTTTGCTTATTTCATTGGTTTTCATGCATATCATGAAAGTGGCAGCCATGGTTTTGTCCCAACAGGAAAGTGGCATGTACATTTGTCATGTTCCCTGCACCCTTTCCCACAAGCTGCAACATCCTTTTACCAGTGCTGCGCAACCGACACCAAGTATTGCAACAGAACGTTCTTGTGAAGATTCTGTTGTGACACTCTTCTGCACAACCAAGAGATCTTGTTGATGAAGTCCTCGTTCTGCTGACATGCGTGTGCAAGAACGTTGAGACATGGCATCTCCTTCAAACTCAAGACAATGTGCATGGCAAAGTGCAGCTTCGGCTGCAACTTGAACCTAGGCACACCAAGATCATGAGCGAAAGCCGCACAACGCTTGTAGGCCGCCAACATCTCAAGACCAGCATTCTTTGCAGCTCGGCCCTCCCTCTTTGACAGCCACAACTTCGATCTGTAAAGCAGGCTGAAAAAGGCATTGGACCGCTCCAAGCATTTGCAAATCTCCTGCAAGTAGTCGCTGCTTGGGTGGTCCATGCAAACCTCCAAGAACTTCAAGTGCAGCCACTTCAGAACTATTGTGGTGTCAGCACCTTTGAACCAATTCCTTGGAGAAACATGCAAGCTTAAGGCCCAACGGCACACTCACAGCAACCCATGCTCATGCGCAACACAAGGCTGAAACAACATGCGTGCATCAAAGGAGCCCACAAGGAAAGTGAGATGAATCGGCATATCCAAGCAATGCCCTCGTGAGGGAGTTCATGTGTAGATGAAGCTTCGGCTTGGAGTTCTTGGCGAAGTCTGCCAAGTCGTGGTGCACCCGCAGCAGCCTGTCCTCGAATTTGCCTCCTTCATAGTAGTTGAAGTCAAGCAGCACAACCTTGGAATGAACATGCATGGATGAACATGTCAAGCAACAGGCCCATGAGCGTGAGCATGCCATACATAATTCCCATCATGCATGCCATGTCATGAGTCTAGCGGCTATAGCGCTCCCAGCAAGCTCCGCGTGGACGCCCTTGTGGAAAGTGTGGAAAGGGTCTGGAAGCCAGAAACGGGCTTTGGCAAGGCCACCATGGATGTCCCGAGTCATGGCTGATTCTTGGCCAGCAGCGAACGGCGGCAAGAACACATCGTCACCAAGCGTCTCGGTCCAGTCCCACGTGTGCCAAGCTGGGCAACAAGACGTGTTTGCCATGCATAGGTGGCACATGCCAGGGCCATGAGGAACAGTCTCGCGCAGGAAGTGTCTTGTAAGGTTCCCACACTTCCTCAGGGCAGGCAAGTCGCCCTTGAAGCCTAAGCAGATCAACCGAACAGTAACCTCGCCTGCCCCGTATTGCACACGCAACCCTTCACGCTGAAGGCGGTGCAAGTCAGCCGCCCATTCTGTCATCAGGGCTTCCAACCTATCTGGCTTTTTGCGGTACACCTTGCTGTGCATGCAGGCGTAGAGCAAACGTGTCCGCCAAGTAGAGCCCACGAAGTTCAGCAATTGTAGCCAATCTTCTCCTTCATGCACGCCATCGTCCACATTCAGCTGAGTTCCTTGGCCGAGGATAGGTTCCCAGCCAAGCACCATTGCATTTGTTTTCCGAAGTGCTGTGCCCTCATCCCCAAATGCAAAGATAGGGATGGCCCATTCAAGCTGGGTGGCATCCATCCCCTGAACGAAGTGCCCATGGTTTGTTGGGCATTCCTTAGGATGCAGCGTAGGCGTATACCCTCAAAAAATCACAAAAGAACCATGGAATGTGTACAAACACACCCGCCCCGTACACTGATGGCAGCTATGTTTCCAGAAACTTGCTCCAGAAAGCTTGAAGAAGCGAAGGGTGCACACAAAGATTGTCTAACTTGTCATGGTTTGCCAGCGCCTTCAAATATTCACTTGGCAGAATGACAGGGTGCTCGCTCCCATCCTCAACATGTGACAGGAGACTTTGGCTCACAAGCTTGAAATCCAAGACAGTAAACAACAAAGGTTGCGAAATATGTTATATAATGCAAAGCTCAAGGTGCAGGAAGGTTCACATGCGACACATGGATGCTGGCCCGAAGAGAGCCTGTATTTGAGATAATTTCACGACACCTGTGCCCATGGCCACTGCGAAAGGCCACAGACATGCCCTCTATAAATTCACCAGATTTCAATCGCAGGGCTGCTCCACCACCAAAGGCCTGTGTGATCTCTGCTGAGATGTTAGCGCATAGTTCTCCCAGCATGTCATGGCTCACCTTCATGAAAGATGCATGGGAGCATGGGATGTTGTGAACATGATCAAGCCACGTCGTATGCATGCATGGTCAGAAAAATGTTTTGAGGTATAGGTCGAGGGGCTCCTTTGGACACAGCAGACGCCATGGAGTGAGCCAGCGGGCCAGCCGGAAGCGTTCGCCGCTTGGAAGGCGCAGAGGGCGCAGGCGGCTCCAGCGGCTCATCAGCAGAAATCAGAGTACCTGCACGCATGCACGTAGCCGAGGCATGGTCATATGTTCATGCAACAAACATGCACATGCACTTGCTCATGCGCATGTTGTTCCCACTCGTTTTCAACGCATCATGTCCAATTGCCCTTCAGATAGTCACAACGATCCACCCACACCACGGCATTTTGCCATGTTCATTCAGGTGGGCCCCATCCCCAAGATTCAAGCAGCACTGCACAAGTTACACCTATAAGTCACGCAGGCGGCTCCACACAAACGGCTCTCACTTCTTCCTCTTCTTGTTCTCCTTCTCTGCCGCCTTCTCCGCTTTCTCTGCCTTCGCTTTTTCCTTCTCGAGCTTGGCCTTTTCTTTCGGGCTCACCCTTTTCAGCACAGTCCTGGGAGAAGACCCATAGAGCAACATTTTGTGTTTGATTCATGCATGTGACACGCGTGCTGAGGCTGCTGCTTTCGAAGCTTGGTCTCTTCAAGAGTGGCTCGGCCAACCCTGGGAGGGGGCGTGGTGAGATGTGTGCTTTACATGCTTTTGAGTCATGGCTATACATGCATTCAAGGCACAACTTTGTCACCCTTTTGAGCTTGGTCACGATCACTTTTGAGTTGGACCTAATAGCCAAGATTCTCATGCACATGGGTTTTGAAGTTGGAGCATGACAACTTGCATTGCAACATGAGAACTTATAGTGCAACGGATGTCACTCATCTTTGTTTTCATCCCAATTGCCCTTGGCATCAGCAATCTCATCGTGCAAGTCAGCAATGTCCTTCATGTACTTGTCGATGGCATTGCAAGCCCTCAGCACACACAAAACATATTAATCTTGCGTTGCAGGGCAAACATGCAAAAGTTAGAGTGTATGATGGTCCCGTTGTCTTAGCCCCTGGCTCTTTGTCGGCACCCTTTTCCAAATCCTCTTTGAGCTTCTGCATCTTGGCATTGACCTTCAGGAGGTTCTTCAAAGCATTTGGGACGCTCGATGGGTCCTGGCAGCAAAGATTTGCACATGAATGGCTTGAAGGTCGACATGAGCAACTTGCATGCGCACGTCACAAAGCCTGGATGAAATACCATTGAGCTTGTTCATGCCATGTGCATTCATGCCATGCATGCATGCATGCCTGCATGGGTGGACATGGAATCATGAAATCATGAATGCATTGCATGCGTGCAAGGACATGGAAGCATGAAACCTCATGAGATCTCATGACATGAGTTCACAAAAACATGAGGCACATGCATGCACGGAGTCCTCTAACAAAGCCAGTTCCTCTGTTGCCCCACCGGTAACTTCGCCTGAGGCGCCACCTGCTCCGTCAACAAGTGCTCCAGGCTCAAAACCGTCGAGCATAGGGGTCGACAGATGGACGTCGGCATGGGCAGCATTGAACCGTACTTCATCCTCGACTTCATCCACTTGTTCTGAAGCGATTTTACCGGTGAAAGACTCCTCAACCCAATACAAAGTAATGTTCTCGTAGCGGTCTTTCCTGCGGGTGCATTCCATGACGTGTTTACAAGCATGAAAGCATGGCTATGATTTTCTCCTTGTCCATGTCTTCACTCGATGGGGAGCCGTGCAGTAGGCTTTGATGGATTCAATCCGTTTCCTGAGCTCAGAGATGAGGCATGCATGGTCCATGGGTCCATGAGGAAAAACACCATGCATTCATTAGTTGATGCAAGCATCGCAGAAAAGTTGAGGGGTGGCTTTTTCATTTGCTCCTCTGAGTAGAAGCCGCAGGCCACTTCGAAGGAACCACGCTTGGCCTTCTTCACCCTGTGGGTCACAACTCGCTTGAACTCTTCCTGCAGGATTGGGCAATCAATGAGTTATGGATTTAAATTTGTTCTTGGCAAGTTTTCATGTGTGGTCCTTGCATTGGCATGTCATGTAATACATGAACGTGATGAGCGTGATACCCATGAGCAAGGCGTACATGAATGCACATGCTTGCAACGACCCCATGCATGTCACAATTTGCGTGCCCACAAGCAAGACCCATGCAAGCGTAAGAATTGTCCATGTTCGCCTTGTCCATGCGACAGCGCATCAAAAGATCTTTCAGTTCAGCGCGGCCAGTTCCCCCAGCAAGAAACTTCTCGTAGATTTCCACAGGAACCTCAAGCGTCCCATTTGCCTTCTTTTGGCAAAGTCTTCGAAGCTGTGCATCAACGCGCGCCTTTTCTTTCCTCTCCTCTTCAAGGATCTCCTCCAAGTGTTCAGGATCTGGAGTGGGTGCGGCCGGCGTAGGTGGCATCGACTGCCTCTTTGCCAAAGCCGTTGCCGACAACGATGCATCTGCATCGACCTTTTTGGCCTCTGGCCGGGCTGCAGGGCTTCCAACGATCTCCTCGTGGCTTGGAGGTTTGTCAAGCACTTCAACGGGGCCCATCACACCAATGAGCTGCTTCAAGTAGTCAGCGGGCTCATCATCGGAACGCCCTGCACCTTCACCGACGCCAGGGTCCTCGTCCAACATGTAAGCGTCACAAAGGGCAACGGAGCCAGAGTCCTGCACTTCCTATATAGCATGAGACATGCACAAATTATGCACGTGGACAGACATGCACATGGAACATGGGCACAGGCATGCAGTCCTCATCGGTCTGCAGGCCAAAGAGCTCCTCCTCCAAGGCGGTGTCGAAGACATCAAGAACCTGTGAGTCAAACGGCCTGAATGGTTCATCTGCAGGAACAGTTGTTCCACTGTAAGGATCCTCTTCAGCGCGCGCTTCAGGCGCTTCACGAGCTTCATCAGCTGGAGCAGCCGGTTCTGAAGGAGCAGCAGAAGCGACCGGCTCTGCGAGATCAGGCTCTCTTGCTTGTGGTGTAGCTTGCTGCCTCATTCGAGCGGCCTCCAGCTGCTTCAACTGCGCCCTGGCATCCTCACAAACCGCACAAAGGAACGCGCTAAAGCAATCCATGCGCAGCCATGAGCGTGAGACGTGTGACCTGCCTCCAACATCTTGTCATCAACTTCGATCTCCTCCATCTTGACACCTCCAGCGCTGATGAAAGAAGCGCCAGCCATGAGCGTCGCAGCGGAGTGGGCTTCAGCTGCCATGCAGGAGCTGTACCTGGACTTGCTGCCTGCGCAAACTCAAGCTAGAACCGTGCGTGCCTGCGCAATGCCGCGTGGAAATATGCCACAACTCATGTTCAAGGCATGCCATGAAACATGAGACACACACACATGTAGCGCAATTCACAGTGACAATAAATGGCGCCTTCGTGAAAGTGGCAGTTTTGTTTTTGCAAAATCTGGAGAGTAGGAAACCTACGGGAATTTACGCCACTTTACGCGAATTTACGCCACTTTACGCGGCGCACGGGTTTGCGCAAAAAGTGAAAGTGGCAATTATATTTCTCACTTTCGCATATAGAGCTGCGCATAGGGTCTCTCAAATGCTATACACGCCACTCAGGTGGAACCTTCACTATGGTTGAGTGGCTCAAGTACTCCACACATGGCTGCAAGTTAGCTAGCCACTCTTCATCAGCTGCAGGCCACAGTATCGACACATGCTCCAACGCAATATTCTCAGGCACTTCTTGGCCAAGTCCTTTTGGAATAGCTTTTTCCAGCGTCAAGTTCGCGTAGATCTTCGCAAACTGGATTCCAAATCCAATGGGGTAGACCCTGGCCAGCGCGCAGCAGCATCACATATGCATACTGTGCGAACGCAGCTTTCACTGAGGTCACGACTGCGACTGTTTGAGGTTCTTGTTGCCAGTCCAGGATCGTTTTCCATCAGCGCGAACATCAATTTTCACTAAACGGATTTCACCCCGATTCTTTGGCAATTTCCCAGTAGCAAAGCCAGCCACCCCCTTCTTGTTGCACCAAAGTGAAGATCTCTTGGGAGTCTTGCTCCCGTAGCACATCATCCAAAAGTCAGTTCCTAGGATTCATGCATGCGTGCAAGACATGCGTACGTGTGGGCAAGCATTGTGTTCATGGCAAATCTCAAGAATTAATCTAAGAATCTCCATATATGAAGTCTTTCGCATACACATTGAAAGGCTGGGTGGCGGTAGATCAGGGAGCTGCGCGGCTGTTCCACCGTCCAAGTGCCCCCCAAAGCTTGGACCACTAAGAGAAGCATGCATAGTTTCCCAACCATTTCATTTGCTTGGACGACAGAGGGCAAAGCACAATCGCCAAGTGGAGCAAAGAAGCTTCTGCGGCAGCTTCCTTGAGAAATAGCCACCCATGTTGAGCAAACGATTCCAAAGTGCACAAGGAAGGCTCCTTCCCTTGAAGACAGAATTGTCGCAAGCAACAACCTCATGTGGCATGCGTGACTCACTCAACCAATCATGCACATGCGCATGACATAAATCACACCATGCATGCAAACAAGAAGCAGAAAGCCAGCCGGCTGCAATATATCGCACGGATTATGTTTTCCAAGCTTCTTTTTTTTATGGGATCGATCTCGAGCTGCATGTTCCCAGTAGAGTACATCTATCGCCCGAGACTTCAGCCCCACCTTCTTCAAGACTCTGTGAACAACACCTTGTCCAGCAAAAGCTTCGATGGCTTCATAGTTGGCCTGCCGACATTGCAAAGGCATGTCTCAACACGAGCCTTTGGCTCACATGCCTCCCAATTGATTTTCTCGACGCTGGCCAGCAAGACGATCAAGTATAGCAAAGCCTGCAACACAAGCACGCCGGGAAGGTCCATGGTATGCACTTTTCTCACATGTTTAGCTAAGAAACACCAGGAGCTTTCATGGCATATAGTTTCTTCAGGACTCGTTGTAGTTTTGCTTGCTCCATGGCGAATAACTCAGCAACATGCTATACATGCACGAGCCAACCTGAGGTATGCGCTCATGCAGGTGCAACACATGCAAAAACATGCCACAGACACGCGCATACTCTTCAACATGAAGAAGGCGCACTGGCTCGCTTGATGCCCCGGGTCTGCCAGTGCTTGAGCTTAGGCATAGAGGGCAGCCTGCCATATGGAAACGCTCCGCGTCGGAACATGTGTGCGGTCGTACCTCGAATCATGTATGGCATGCACGCATGTTCATGAATGGGATGAGCCATGCCATGTCATGCACCGACAACATGTTCACAGCCATGCATGTTCCATGTTCATGACTTGCACATGATGGCATGGAACACTTTTTCAAGGGAGCATGAGCACGTCGCATGAGCTTACTTGCCCTTTTTGGGGCTTTTCATGCTTTTCATGGGAATTTTACTTTTCCTTGCGCCACGGGCTTTGTACCCAGGCCGTCTACATGTATCACACCCATTTTTGCTAAACTTGCAGCGCGGGCAGCCGTAGGTCTTCTCAAAGTCTTTCAAATCTTTGCGCTTCCTCTTGCCCTTCTCCTTTTTCTCCTCAACTTCCTCAACTGCTTCAGCATTGTCCGTGTCATTGCCCCCAGACTCCATGCGCATTTCCGTCTCATCCGCTTCCTTGTCCTCTTCATCGCTCTTGCTAGGCCTTTCGTCTCCTGCACGCTTGTCTTTTCCTGCGGTCGTCGACTCTTTGCCTGACCCACGCACGGCCTTCGACGATGGCTTCTTTTGAACGGTTGCCCTTTTCTTTTCTTGTTCTTTTTTCCTGCCACGTCCTCTTCCGCGTCCTTTGCCACGTCCTCGTCCTTCCCCCTTCCCACGACCTCTTGACTTGCCACGGCCTCTTCCTCGTCCACGGCCTTTGGAAGTAGAAGACTTGATTTGTTGTCGCAAAGCCCTTTGCATGGTTGGTGTCACGCCGCCTTCTCCAGAAAGCTCCACGGTCTCACTGCCCTCCTTTTTCTTCCTGACCTTCAGGCGCTTTGTCACATGGCATGACATGGAAACACGCATGCTTGAAGTATATATGCCACATACAGCCCATATGATAACCCACGCCTGGTCTTTCAAGTACATGCGTTTTGAAGTGCATGCTGGTGGAGACGGGGATAGTACCACAGACTCTGGGTCGTATGGCACTGTGTCCTAGGCATGCATGTTGCGAAGTTTCAACCCATGATCTTGCATGCGTGCCACATCCATGCATGCAAACATGAACATGCTGGCCTCCAGATCGACAGGACCCTTGGAAGAAGAAGCTGCCGCCGAAGACGCTGCTGAAGATGCACCTGGAGGAGCCCAATGAGGTCAAAGGCATGCATGCATGTTGAATGACATTTGCATGAGACGTGGACATGTGCATTTCATGACCCCCCAAAAATACCCCTGGCGCCTTGCAACCGTTGGAGTTCCTTCATGATTTGCAAGTACTCGATTTTTCTTTTTGAAGGGGACTTGACAAAAGACTTCGTGACCACCACCTCATCCTCCTCCTCATCATCTAACATAGTTTTCTTCTTCTCAAACTGCTTTTGTTCCATCTCCCTCACCTGTTTCTCTTCTTCTGTCAGCTGGCGATCCTCATGCATGCTTTGACTGCTCGTTACCAGCTCAGGTTCTGCTTTCTGGTCAGGTTCCTTCGGGCTCGCCTGCTCTTCTTCAGAACCCGGATCTGTCTCAGGGTCCTCTTCGAAGGTTTCTTCTTCTCCCTCAGCATCAGGGAAGGCCTCAACCTCAGATGACGCATCATCTTGGCCCATGTCCATGTCATCCTCCAAGTTCAGCGTGGAAGTTGGGTTCTTCTCCAGCTCGGAGTTGATGTAGGCAAACAATTTGGCAATCTTCTCGTTCCCAGCTGCAACACAAAGCTTTGGGATTAAGGTTTATATAGCCATGCATATGCTATGTTTTTGGTTTAGAGTTTATAAAGTTTAAAGTGCGCACCAAGGGACACGAGGCGTTTGACCACGCTTCCGACAATCTTTGGACCGGCGGACTGCAAAAGAGTACATGGACCTGATGTTCCAGGAATCCTGATGAACTCGAGCTTTAGTAATTCCTGGCCACTCCATGGTGCGGTACATCTTGGTCACCTGACGATGGGAAAGGGCGAATTTGCATGACATGAGGCACCCTATGCGTGGCATGAACCATGCGACAGCCTAACACAAAGCATAGACATGCACATGACACAAGCCTCTTTCTTCAGCCATTCGATTGGAACAGCTTTGCCTGGAACACCAAACTCTTTCACCAAGACGGACACCAAGGAAAGGTTCTTCTCCAGGTGGGGGGTTGCAACGGCTGTATCCTTGTCCATGTCTGCAACCCAAAGGTATCCATTCTCCTTTCGGGTGTTTGTCTTTTTGAGCGCAACCCATGCCCTACTCAACTTGCCCATGCTTGCAACCCTGAGCCTAAATGACACATGCATGTACAAGTCCATGCCATGAAGTGTCATATGACATGGGACATGACATGTAAATGGCAAATGGGCATGCACTCATGACAACAATCATGGCACATGCTGCATGCGCATCGTGAAACAAAATCATGGCAAACATGCATGTTTGTGTTGCACACTTTTGGTAAACATGCCATCCATGCATGCATGCATGCTCATGATGCCCATGTGCATGAGTCGCCCCGCGCCTGCGCCACAGCACGTAGTTGGCATTGCCCGGCAGCCACCTGTCAGCGTGATCATTTTTACATGCGACCGTGTGATCATTCATGCATGCGTGCTTTGAACGATGATGCCGTGCACACATGCATTTTTTCTCCAAGCGCACTCCAAGGTCAGGCAGCATCATCCAATCAGCCATCGCGCTCCTCTCGGCCCTCATCGCTTGTTGTGTTGCCCCGGCGGCGATCTCGACGTCGATCTCGCGGATCTCTACCCTCATGACGTCTGGCACGTGGTCTGGCGGCAGAGGTTCTGGGGTCAATGCGGCTTCTGCTCCGTCTTCCACTGCCGCCAGATCCTCCCACTTCACGCTGTGCACTCTCTACAGGACTAGATGCTGGGGCGGCTTTTGCAACTTCAGTTGGAGGTGCAGCAGCTGAAGGAACTTTTGCAACTGCAGCTGGAGCTGCTGGACTGGCTTTTGCAACTTCAGCATCACCTTCTGAGGGTGCAGGTTCTTCTGCTGGTTCGGGAGCTTCGGGTGCCGGTGCTGGGGTCGTTGTAGCTTCTTCTTCCGTTTCCACCAACTCATGCTCCTCAACCGTTGCCGGTTTGCTGGCTTGCTTGGTGGCTGCTTGCTTGGCGGCTGGAGGCCGCGGTGCTCCAATCCCCTTGTGTGTAGTGCCAACGCTTCCATGCGGCTTTGGTGGCGGCGCCAGGCCTGCAGGGGAAGCTGCTGGCCGTTGTTTGTTTTTGGGACCTGAAACAGGGGGCGGTGGGTTGACCATAGGTTTGGCTAGCGCTGCTGGCTTCGGCGGGGGCTTGTTCAAGTTGTGAGCACGAAACAATTCATCATCCGAGGACTCATCACTTCCGCGCCATGCCCGGGTTGAGCTATTGCCCCAACTGTTGTCCTGCCAGCTGTTGTTGCCCCAACTGTTCCCCCAGCCTCGCCACCAGCTGTTGTTGCCCCAGCTTTGGTCGTCCCAGCTGTTGTCGTCCCATCCGCTGCCAGGCCGACCACCATGATGCCATGACCCTCCCCGTGGGCACCAAAGCCGCCCTTCAAAGTAAACCCACGCCATGAGTGCACTTGTTAACCTGCCCTTGAGCATAAAAACACGCATGTGCACATATGATCAAACACAACATGCATGCGCTCATGTCCTCATGCCCTAGGCTGTGAACCTTAATGTGTCCCATGCCCACCATGACTGGCCTCCAGGAGCAAAGCGCTGCCGAAAGCGGCAGCAGTAGCGGCGGCTGCAGCTGCGCTGAGTTGGCTCACGGTCATGAGCATGAGCATGAATCAAGCATAATCATGAATCATGCACATGACATATGAATCATGCATGCATCAACCATAGGTCACATGCAACATGGAGATTTTGTCACTATAGCAGCGCATGTTTGTCCGCAAGATGATTCAACATGTGATCACATGTCAACAAAACATGCCACATCACATGTCATGTCGATCTATGTCGATCTTGAGCCAGCGCCGGTGCAAAAGTGACAGCTCAAAAGGGTGGTGGGGTTGAAAGTGGCAAACCACTCCTGGAAACATGACCCTGGGACCACTAAAGTGGAAAGTGGAAGAAATTTCTTCCACTGCAAAAGTGGCATGGTTTTTGTGCCACTGACGGCGGTCCAGGTGGATTCCCTCTATATACTTGTCCGGCTTCGTAGTTTGTGTTGCCGCCGTCCACGATCCAATCCCGGGGTGCGTCAACTGGCACGCCAGTTTGAACCTCCCAGATCATGCACTGAGTCAGGCGGTGTTACCATTTGTACACTTCAACTTTGGGACTCCAGAACATTGATGCGATTCCAAGCCAAAGGAACGTCCTCAGGTGGGTTTATAATTGCGCTTTGTTTCAATGAGTTGGTGTCCCGTAGATACTGTATCTCCAATATACAGCTCCTCTACCCATTGATCTGGTTTTGTCAGTGGCTAGTAGTCCGAACAACTTGTCCAATTTATTTGTTGCCGAAAGACTATCATGGACTTGTTGGTCACCTGTTGGTCTCCTCCCTGAACTGTTTGAGGTGCTTCCTGAAGAGGACGTGGAGGTCTGGAACTCGCGATGTCAGACATGGAGGAATGTCCGTTGCATTGGTGGGGGATGTAGATTCCACTTGATGCCCGTTGGAGCATATTCTGTCGGATTGCAACTCCATGGTCAACAACACCTGGAATGGATGCCAATGCATCAAAATAGGATCCAATAGGTTAGTGCGTGCCGTTGCTGTTGTTTTGACTGCATGATTTTGGTTGAAAGACTTCCCCCACAGCAGAGTGTTGGTCAGATTCAGATGTGCATCGAACCCAGCAAGCAATATATATGATGAAAAGACGTTGATTGATGGACCGGGACGGTCGTTTCTATCATTTCTTTTGGTTTATTCATTCAGGCCATTCAGACGAGTCGCACTTTGATTGATGTCCAGGTCCTGGTTGCCGAGTTGCCTTCTTGAACTTCCGTGCGGTGCAGCGATCCCTGGCTGTGTTTCCATGGGACCATCCAACCTCGCCTCTATGTGCGCTTTGCTGGTGAAACACAACAACGTGGAATCCTCCCTTGGGGCGACATGGGCACGATCCGGGACGTTCCATGAGCCGATCACCGTGCGGCGCAGGTGCCTTCGGTGGGCAAACGACCGGAAGAACCATCTCTTGACCGTGGCCCGGCGCTCGGTCGGGGGGGGGAAGGGAATGGACAAATGGTGCAGACGAGAATGAATTTGTGTGGAAAAGTATCACCAACCATGAGTTCATGAGTATGGGAGAACTGGAGAGTATGGGGTACTTCTTGATCATGGCGAATGATATAGCAACCGATGGTAAAGCCTTGGTAAAGCTGAATGAGAACAACATATGTGAGTATTAGGATACTTACAGTCATTTTGAATTCACCCAAAGAGGTGGTCAAATGTTTTGTGTATTTTTGTGTTTTAATCCATCAGCGTTCTCACAGAGGATCAGGTGCCTTTTGAGAGTTTCACATATGAAGGATTCTCTCCATGGCTCAAAGCATTCATTGCAAACATGAGGGGGAGCCAATGAACATCATACACTGCCAAAAGCAAAATGGAATGAACACACATCCTTGAGGAGAGACATCTATGACACTATGTTTTGCGGGTGGGGGCACACAGTTCAAGGTAGGTAGAATGGATTGGGCCTCTGCCAGCGTGGATCCAACAAGAACCCACTACAAATGCTCATCCCACGCCGTCCCTTTGCCCTACAGTAGATTGACAACATATTCAAACCCCTAAGTGAGGGAGGAACCCCTTACCCCGCGCTAGGGTTTGATATGTGTTTCGTCCATTCGCCCCAACACTCTGGCAGGCTTGCTAACATTGAAGGATGTTCTTATTTTGTCCATCTACAGTTAATGGGCTTTCCCATCCATCACAGCCATAACAAGATCCGAGGACCGTCACCTGCGCCTGTCCCCTCGCCCGAGCTCCTTCCACAAGTTCAGAGTGGAAACCCAGTGGTTTTCACCGCTGCGGACGCGTGCGGACGCATGAAATAGGTCCCGGCAGTGGTCCTGGCTTGGTCTTGTGACACCAACACCATCCTAAGTTGTGGAGCAGAGATAAAGGCTAAAGGTTCCAGAGACAGAAAGATAATTTCCGGGAAAACAGATGTTGGTTAGATGTTGGAGAGCGAGTTTGTGTGTTTGTTTGTTTTTGTTCTTTTATATACAGAGGTTGTCTTTGGGAATGGAGTTGAGACAGACATTTGGACGTCCACCCATTTTGTAATGTCGTCCAAATTCCAAGGATCACCCAAATGGCATACACAGAAATTGGTTGATCCCAAAAAGACTGCAGCACCAAGTGCTCCTGAGATGTTCTTCAGAGTTTCCGAGACACCAAGCAGACGATGCCTCCAAACTTAGCCTATATAGATCACTATGGCGTTAAAATATAGGATCCATTAGGATCCTCATACTCAACACTTCGAACTTCAAACACTGTGTATATTTTCATTATCCTTTGCATGTATGGCCTTAGCTGCAGCAGTGGGTTTGTCAAACACGCACTTGGTGCTTGGGCAGAAAATTGCCTATAAACCCACTAGGGGAGATTCTTGATGGAAGAAAACATCGGGACATTCAAGAAGCTACTAGTAACAAGTGCCACGCTAGTAGTAACAGGTGCCTTACTAGTAGTGACAAAGAAGCTATTAGAAGCTTATTGTTTCTAATAGCTTCTTGTTACTACTAGTAAGGCACCTGTAACTACTAGCGTGGCACTTGTTACTACTAGCAAACCTTGTTACTACCTTAATTTGCTCCACCCCTTCAGGTCCGATCTTCGGACTTCGCCGTGCCAGGTCGGCAGCGGCGATGCCGTCGGGCTCGATGCCCTCGGCGATGATGTCCTCGGCGATGTGGGCAGCCCAGTCGTGAGGTGAATGGGAGGTGGTGAGGGAGACGCAGATCTCGGAAAATGGAGAATCACGCTAAGCTGTGTTGCTGAAGTATGAGCAAGGACGCTACTAGAGGCTCCTGGCCTTATTACTAGGAGCAAGGATGCTTTTAAAGAACTAAGTAGTTTATTGATGCTTGAATTCTAATTTAAGCAGTTGGACAAAATTAATCAACAGTTTTACTACGGTGGAAGCAACGCAGCAGTGGGGCCATTGTGCGGATCTATCGTGAACACTTTGCGGCGATTTTGAAGGACCAACCACTTGACGGGCCGCCAGGAGGACCTCATCACACGTACTTTCTGCCAATGCGCAAGAGATGCAAAATACGGCGCAACATGAACCATCTTAAAAGCTTCCCAACACGGTTGACAGCAACGTAGTCACTGAAGAGTTCCGGAGATTAGGAAACAAAATCCCACGGATCCAGGCCACGTCCTCCAATTTTGGTTTTCTCAATGAACTTCGTCCTCCACGGGTCCACGGTCGCGCGCCGCGGCCGAGGCTGAGCAGCAGCGTCCCACTGCAAAACTCGCCCACGGAGCGACCGGTGGGTCTTTAGGGACTGGCGAAGGTCCACGGTGAGGAGATGTGGTGAATGTGAAGGCCTCAGTTTGGTTGAGGATTGGGTTGCTTACAGAAAAAGCTTAAGCAGGTTGAAACAAGGAACAGTTTATAGTAATTATATATGTTGCAAGGAAATAACAACTGTCGATTAAATGCCAGAGCCTTTGCTGTTGAAAATGATTAGGCCACCCACAATTCTGGAAGCGCGACAGTTTTCAAGCACCTGACTGTTAATCAAGCAACTCGTGATGAGTTGTTTCCAGAATAACACTAGTCACTAGCAAGAGAGCAACAACTACAAATGGCAAATCACAGATGAGTTCAATCTTAGCCAAATAAGATTAACGTGTGCATGGATCAGATTCAGATAGTTTAGGGCCTCAGTCTTGGCTATGTCATTGCTGGGGAAATAATTGGTGGCAGTCAATTTGCTTCGTTGTACGACCATCGCTACACTCGGCGAGAGAAGACGCCCTGCAGGAGATGCCGGTGCCCACTGAGCTTCCATCCCCCACCAGCCCGGCAGAGGACGAGGTGCCGATGGGAAGAGATGATTGGGGTTACTGTACGGAGACGCCCAACGGATTTGGACAATGGATTTGGTTTTCCAGGGCATGTTTTTGAGAGGTGTCCCATAATATGGATCCACATACCTTCTCACCTCCAAGCCTACATAAATAGTTTCCAATCACCTTCTCCGAGGGTATGTGGATCCATATAGGGTTAGAGTGAAAAAACAAGTGATCATCGGGTCCAGACATTCTGATCTTGGTCAGCATTTCTGACGTTTCGGATTTGCAGTAGGGACAGTGTTGCTCAGTTTTTGCATGTTTTCGTATTAACATGTGTTATCATGTGTTAACCATCCGTTTTCTCTTTCATCTTGACATATGCCCAGAAAAGACCAATGAACCCTGCACATCCCTGCGCCGTATGGGATATTCCAGACACCGCATTCCAACACGCCTGTGATTACGGTTTCACGCAAGACGCAAACGGCCGAACTAAAGCCGAAAGGCTGCCATTCTGTTGAAGCTTTCTGGTGAGCAACAAGCAATCTGACAAAACAACACAGCGTCACATAGTCTCATGGACCAAGACTCAGACAAACTGGATGTAGTTGTGGCAAAACCAAGACCCCATCCAAAACCGCAGTGACTCTACTCCTTTTCCAATCACATCAATCACATCACCTCCCTCCTTCGTCTCTCCAAGCTCCTTGCGCTTTTCGCCCCAGCGCGGAGGCCAAGACCATGACCGCTGAAGCGCTGACCGCGACGGCTTTGACGGCCGAGCCCATGGCAACGCAGACGGCCTCGCAGACGGCGCTCACCGCGGCCACTGCCTCACAGA